GGGGGGGGGGCTTTGTGCCTGTATGTTGCCAATTACTTGAATTACTAGTTTCTGATGCTCTTACCTTAAGCCACTTACACCAAGGGCAATTAAATTCCCTCAAACAATAGCAAATAGTAAGAAGGTCAAAGGGGAACACTGAGCTACATCTATACATCTCTCTCCATCTAGTAATATCTTGATGTGTTCTCTTTAACTAATCCTGAGGGTGGTAAAAGAAGTTGACCCCTGATTAAACCATTGGTGGTTTGACCTCCAAGTGTCCTCGGGCAAAATGCTAAATACCAAGTTGCTCCCAATGGCAGCAGTGTGTGAATGGGTGAATAAGAGTCTTTATGGAGTGTTCTGAGCACACCAAGCTAGGAAAGAGTCACATGAATGCAAAACATTTTTTTTTAAAATCTTTATTTCAATGACTCATGCAAAAGACGTCCATTGAAAACAAGAATTTATCAAGTTAAATGTTGTGTAGCTCAACCGGATCTGAAGGATAATTTCCCCAATGTAAGAGTTTTCCTTACTTCCCATGGCCTGACTGACCTTTAAACCCATTAGGATTATAACAAACCCACAGCAGATTGGTTTGGCTAGGCTAAGCTAGCAAAGTCACTCTGTTCTTTTCAGAATGATATGAGCTTTCTGATTGGTCGAGTTTATAGGTGACCATTATCATCTTACCAAAGTTTTTCCTGTCTGTTATGTCTGTTTAGTGGTTGTAGTCATTTCTGCTAATCCATTTTCTGTTTTAGCAACAACCAGCATATTGAGCATTTGGCAGTTAAGGAATTTGATATTTCCCCCAGGAGGTGGTGGAGACCAAAGCAGAGCTGAAAGTGACTGTGGTCATTACAAATTCAAGCTAATGTTGCTGCCCCCCCGCTACTTTTGTTCTCAGTGCACACCCAAAAATAAATAAATCCATACATCCATATGTGCGCGTGCGTACATACACTGTCTATGTCTACAGATATCTCAGTTTCTCACTTGTGTTCTCACGTGATAGGAAAGTTCTGCTAAACGCCCATCTATTTTTATCTTGGTGTGATTTTTAACCCACAGCTACTATCACAAGAGATTTCAGGGGCAACAAAGCCTTAGACATTACATATGATAATCGCTGCATTTGTACTGACGCTATTATAGATGAACGCATATGCCGCTTAGACTTCCATGAGTGAATAACATCTTCAGCATGAGTGAGCAGAGCAGTCAGTGTGTGACCGATTATCGAATGTGATGGTGCTCTACATGGGCAGTGAAGCTCTGAGTCGAGCTGTGGAAGTCGCTGCAGTGTTACAGTCTGCATCATCACTACAATCTGATACGGATCAATAACCTCACAGGGTGACTGATTGATATTTGGAAAATAAAACCCACTAAATACCCTTCTTCTCCATCTACGTTGGTCTGTTTGGTCTGCTCTGTGGCACTGAAGAAGCATGAGATGCTGCTAAAAGGTCTGATAATCCAAATTAAAAGTTATAAAGAAGGACCTTCCTTCCACATGTGAACAGCCGATGCATTTTTTGGGCAAGCAAAATCTTTTCCTTTATACTCTCATTTACCCAGCTTGTTTTTTTTACATTCCAAATTTCACTGAGATTATAGTTTGGTGCTACCAAACCATTATTTGGGGAAAACAAAAGAAAACTTAAAAAGAGACGGCGCTACATAAACTACAAAGGAAACTGAATATTATCTGGCGCAGGCAAACTTTCTAAGTAATGTCATCTTTTCTTAATCTGCAGCATCCAACCGCAGTTCATCGACAGCTCCCAAAAGCCTCATCAACACATCGGCATCAGCCAGAGAGCTTTCCTGCCACATGTTATCCACATAGCACTGAGATACATATTTTGCATATCTTCAGTCCAAGACGGGCGGCAAGAGCCAGGACTTTCCAGACCAGAGAAAAGCAGGGAAAAGCATGTGACAAATTTGTAATATGATACATGTGTTGTTTTGGTTTTTGGGATGGGTAACACTTCGTTGCTGGGAGGGGTAGAGAGAGGGGGAAAGAAAAACAAACAAACAAATATATAAAAACCATTGTGCATTCCACCCACTCCCCCCTTAAAAATGTGCGGGGAAACTCCTCAGGGTCCGAGCAGTGGAACGTCAGACATGCATAACAAAAACAAGATGGCATGCTGCAACACAGGTGGGCTCACCACAGTTGTTGAGTGGAAAGACAGATGTCTGCACTTCTTTAATTTGAACACCACAACGTGCAGTATGTGGGAACTTCTTCCCTCAGCATGGCACTGAGGCTCTGACTGGCCCAAAGGGGGCGCTACGATAAGGACTCAAAATCAAGTTAGCCCTACAGCATGTGCTAAAATATATAGTGGCTGTACAAGCCCAGAATGAGGACAGCACTGGTTTAAACTGAAATTAAACATCCATGTGTTTGTGAGCTTCATGTATATCAGACTTGAGATGGGGGATGAGCCTACCTGGATGCCAGCCTGGACAGCCATTACTTTGATCCTAGATGATTCCCCTTTTCATTCTGTAGAAACATGAAGGAAAAAAAAAAAGAAGAGAAAAACACAGGTCTCAGACTAAATGAAGTTACAGTGCAAAACGTAACATCAAATTCTAATAAGGACAATGTGTTTAAACATCTTGTGTTGTCTTTGCACCATTTTCAATTTAATAAAAATCCTTGTGCTGTTTTTATTTACCTTTTACATAAAGAATGCGAACAAGAAATTCCAGAGAGCTGCATCTGCGTTCCTGAAAACTGCTAATCAAGATGCACAGGGTATCTGATTAAAAGCTACCTAAGGGAGTTTTAAAGGAACAGTTCACCAACTCCTGCATAAACACATCATGTTGATGCATTTAATATGGATCTGGAGGTGATTAGCTGACTTTAGTGCAGCATGAAAAGACATGCTTTTTAGGCGTTTCTTTTGAAACAGCAGTGGGAGTGGTATCCACTTAAGAGTCTTGAGACCTTGGTGTTGCTGGACAGCAAAGAGAAATGCTGCACAAGTATGAGGTGGATGACTAACCGGCTTCTCTCTAAAAACTGGTTCCACCATGAAACTCATTCTGAGAACATATGGCGTTCTGTATTCGTACAGAGGGGGAAATGTTCTTCATTTATCCAACTTTGAGGGTTTAAAAAAAAAATTGCACTAATATTCAGAGCAGGGTAAAATCCAGGTAATCTAATATTATTTATACAGCACATTTCACTACATGTAAGCTGTGTGTGCCAACAAGACCTGCAAGTTAGACAGCCACTCACTGCTGCTAAACCTGCTTGATGATGAGCCTAAAATTAACAATGTAATAAATCTCAGTTTCCCCAAACACCAAAGTGACATCTTTGCATCCATTAATATGATGAACATAAAATACAGCTGGAAAAGGTTTGGCATGTCGTTTTTATGAATGATGCAAAAAATTAATCAATTGACTAGTTGTTAAATCAGTACTTTGGCAAACCCCCATACAGCAAAAGCTAGGTGAGGATAAAATGACAAATTATGTATTAGCTGGAAGAATTTACACAGTTGGTAATTTAGCTAGGTTAAAATCAAGTGAAGTATTGCCAATACTACGGCTTCATGTGTATGACAACATCATTACAAACTTTATCCAAAGTGGAAATGGCAATGTAGCCAATCATAAGCTGCTTTGTCTTGCTGGTGAGTCAAAAAAATAAATAAATAAATCAGTTTAAGAGTAGATAATGTGTGCTGTTAGCAATCAGGACTTTCTGACATTTCAGTGACTGTACAAAAAAATAAATCAATACAAATAATGAAGGTGCAGCACTATAATCAATAAATTTTGCTTATTGGCCAACCCTACACTGGAACATGCGGACTCTGGAGTCAAGGCAGAGCCCTATGAGAACAGTGACTTCTAAGCTCCATTTGGACACATGTTGATTATTTCATAAAGTCCATTCCATGTGGCTCTTCTCCCAAACTTAATTTTCATAGCTTTCCTTCATCTCTCAGCCACAGAGGGCCTGTTTTATTAACGAATTAGACAGGAAAGCCAAATGTGACTGTGCTGAGTTAAATAACAGAAGGAAGTTAAAGATATAAACAGCAAACAACCTTCTGCGTTAAAAAGGAGGTCCATGCTGTTTTTGCAGGACATGCAATGAGTTTAGGGGGAATCAAACTTTCTCACAAAGGGAGTGATGGAGTGCTGCTCTGCATTTTTCCCCACACAGGATGTGAGGGATTACCCTGACCCTCCAATGTCCCCGAGGGCGTGTGTGTTTGACAAAGAAAGACAGTGGGTGGGGTGAGAAAGCAATCCCAAGCATGGAGATCCTAATAACACTGACAATTTGGTCAACGCAGCTGAGGCAATAGTCTGTCAACACCAACCCCTACATTCTCCTTGGACACACAAACCTCAGCTGATATCCACCACAAAATGGAAAGTGAAATGGGTTTGTGAAACTTCTACACTGCAGGATTTCACTGTTCTGGTGTTTTCCACTGATGTTGTCATAAACAGATTGATAAAACTGACATAAAAAGATACATTCCTGCAGCTTTACATAGAAATACCGCTACAACTGACACTGAAATGATTCGTTCATCAGAAGCCAGCCCGACAGTACTGTGCACAGTCATCCAATACCACAACTGCAGCCCAGCGGAGATGAAATGCAAGTCAGCGACCAAGGACAGGTCGGGGTGGACTAGAAAGGATGACAACACGAGACAACTTACCTGAGAACAACAAACATTTCGGACAGTCAGGGAAGATGCTGCAACAAGCAACTCTGATCAACGTCCAAAACATCCTCAATGACGAGCCGAAAACCCTGCGATGTGTCCGTGCAGAGCGGCTCCAAGTCTCTGCTTCCACGAGTTAGCGGGGAGGGAAAAGCAGTGAGAGAATGACAAGGAGGGAGGGTGGGACGAGAGATGGATGGGAGGAGGTGCAAAGGGAGAGCCCTGACTAATCAAGTGGCTATGCTTCACTAAGCCCTGACCACCCCCTTGCTTCCTCCCCCCAACAATCCTGTCACGGTGGGACCCCTCTCACAAAGCATCCATTGTTTTGTTAGCTTGCCACTCTCCCACCCCCCCACCCCCCCACACACACACACACACACACACACCTCAAAACCAGTAACCAAATGAGGAACTCTCCAATCAGGGTGCCTAAGCCTAACCCCCCCCCAGGCTTGTCCCACCAGAGCATCCACACAATCTTCCAAGCCAGTACCCAGCAGAGTGTTTGAGGATGGAGGCAGGCCAACAGTAAGAACCTCTCCAGTTGTTAAGCCGCAGGTGCAAAGGAAAATGACATTAGCATCCATGTGGAAAGGGCTTCAAGAAAACTGCCTCAAAGAGTAAACTTCAAGGCGGCAAAAGCAGAACACATGACATCATCGGATCAGATGCCCAGATGTTGGTCTGACACAGTTGTTTCAAGTAGCTTGAAGTAGACAATCAAACCCAGATTGTTGACTTGCCACAGCATCTGTAGATTGTCTAATTCTCTGCAAGATATCACAACATTCTCCGAGTAATTCCTGGTGTTGCTCAAGATCAAACAACATTTTTTTTTTTTAAGATTTGAGATAAAGTTCAGGGGAATGTGTGTGTGTGACTGTCAGTTATTGCCAATACCCATACTGCAACAGATTAGGTCAGAGACCGAGCACTGAGAAGCATGATTTGTTACATCTACGTCAAGCTTAAGAGGATTTCAGTGAAGTCTTTTAAAGCACACTTTGGACATAACCTCAGGGCTACAAAGCAAAATACCCAGAGGCAGTGGAAAAACATGGCGACATTTAGAGTTCTAAAGATCCAGAATGGCTCTGCTTCTTTTCGGCATACATGCATTCGTGACGGGTCACGCTCAACAACACTGGACAAAGGGCAAATCTTTGGCTCTGGACTCCAGTTGTGTGCATCTGGGGCTCCAGCAGAGCCTGAGAGCACGATTTCCTATAGAGACCAAAGGCACCCACACACAGTCAAATGTCAAGCACAGAGGAGGGCGAGAGCTGAAGTCAAAAAATGGGGAGGCGAAGACAAAGCACGTTTCACTATGGTGAACTTTGGTGTGGCACACTGGAAAGGGCAGTGTTTAACTCTATGACACTGAGAACTACCACGCACATTCCTCCAAGGTCGTCTGAGGGAAGAAAAAAAAAAAAGGGCCCAGTCTGTTCCCCTCTAAACCACGTTTCCATGTAATTTAGTGCATTTGCTACAGCGCACTTATCATTGGGGTAAAGCTTAAGGGTAGGAATGATTTGGCATAGCAGAGATAACTGGTTGGGATCAGGGTAAGGTTGAGATCAATTTTATCAATCTCAGACTAATTCAGGCTGGTGATAATGTCCCATTCACATTTAGATAAGAGGAAAACATCAGGGAACATCAGCACTCTTCAATCCATATGGAATGAGTCTTCATCAACTTACAGCTCTTGTCAACAGGATTTTTTATTTATTTTTTTCCCCCCCAATATCCTGGCTCTTAAAATCAAGAGCCATCAAGTGGTGCGGGTTCGTAGATTAGCAAAGTTGTACTAAATACAACCAGAATTCATACATAGGGATGGGTACCGGTATCCGGTGCCATGATGGCACCGGTTCTGACATAAACGGTAGTAACCAGACCGAAAAGCAGCGCACATTTCGGTGCTTTTTTTTTTCCTGAGCTGTAATACACTTTTAATTCTAGCCAATCATTTTACGTTTCCGAGGATAGTAGGCGGGGCCAGGTACGTACATTCTTTTAGAGCAGAGCTACAGATTAAAAATGCCCAAGGCGAAGCGGTCAAAAGTCTGGCTGTACTTCACAGCAAAATAT